ATAAAATTGTTATAATTTCTTGAGCTTATAATTTGCTATTGGATTTGGGCCTAAATTAAGTTGCCTCAATTTCCAAGTTGCAGCTCAAGCTAGGTTTCAATGCTTAGTTGGAGCGTGGCACGCATAAAGGACTGAACCTACCGCTGAGGGATTGCAGTTCATTTCCGATAGCTAGAGGCACACATAACTCATACAAAACATAGAAACTAAAGTATGTATTATATAACATTTGGATTGGGAGCTTACTATCCACACTCGTTTGACGTGACCCGGTGGCGCGAGTGTGTGTGCTCGCCCCGTGTACACGAGTGCTCGAAATTTCATAAGTCCGTTTTTTCAATGTCAAAAAATACACACTATTTAAAAAAATGATAGTAGATTAATAATCCAGCTTAACTTGTCACTCAAGTTCGTAGCTGGGATCCGCTGGACGCTATTTACGGGTCTTTTCACGGATGACTCGCCCCTCGAGATTGAAGTTTGACACTATATTATTAAAATATTTCATTTATGATTTTTTTATATTTGGAAGTTTTAATCAAATTTATTTATGAATATTAATAAATGGAAGGAGTTTTAGATACTTAGCTCTTTGGAATGGGCTGAAATATTGGACTGTTATTGAAATACAATCCATTGAAAGACTTGCCCAAAGATGGTCCAGCCACTCAAGCCCTTTTCACTTGACCCAAAAGTCCAAAAATACCTTGACCTATCATCTGTTATACGGCCCACTAGTTCTTCTCAAGTCCTCGGTCCTGGAGATTTTTATGGCCAGACTCCATGGCCGTTGTGTATGAAGACGAGAGACGATCTGGAGATGTGAGACTTGAAGAGAAGAAGGGTGCCCTGGTCATGACGTTGTCGGAGGAGGGAAGGGCGATGGACATTCTGCTGATCATTTCCGCAGTGAAACCCTGTTTGTTCTCTGTGCACGGACGTTTCTGGTCTAGAAATATCATCTCTCTTTGTTGACGGCTGCCAACGGAGAGTGGACGAGGGTTCGTCGGAACTCCTGCTTTGTGCGACACCACTCTGTCCCCGTCGAGATCTGGAGCGACAACTTCTAAGGGAGGGAGGAGCTGCGAGCGACGCTGATGGAGGCCATATCTCCAGGTTTGCTGGCGACGATGGCTACCATCTAGAGAGCAGCAGGTATGCGGTGGCAGCTAGCAACCTCCGGCTGATGACGACTACGATGGACGGTGAAGTGGTTTTGGCTCACATCTGCGAAATCCCTGTTTTTTTGGATTCAGAACATAATTTTGGCTGGATTTTTGTGATTGTGATGAACATTTGTATTTTTTGGGAGGAAACTAACTTGATTTTGCTCAAACTCTCGATGAAAGCACCATTGATGGATTATAGGGTATCCAAAATATATTAATTAGGAGAGATTGAGTTTAATAATGTGGAGAAGAATATGAATAGTAGAGTGTATGAATTGAGAGTTTTAGAGTTGTGTCATAGGGTTACAAGCTCCAAAAGGAGTATAAATAGAGAAATAATGGGTCGGGTCGCTAATATGGGCCCGATAGGCCCAACTACATAAAAGACTAATCTAGTACATACAGACGATATATGAACAATACAATAAAACAAAAGACATCCGATAAGCGTGTGTGGGCCGCTGTCCAAGCCCAATAGTCGTGAGACCCGGGGGTCCGAGTCTATATACTCCATCACCAATAGATTGTAACGTGTTCTTATCTGAGGAATTCTAGGATCGGCCGCACGCATGTTTTGTAATTTTTCTGATAGGCTACATGTAATCTGGACACGTGCAATTTTTAAAAATAGTTTTCGGAGCCTGTCAAATCAGTGATTACCACGTGTCAAATATATCTCATATTCTGTCTTAGCGAATCACAATACATTCGACTTAATGGAATCAGACGGGAACAGTTATTTCGCAGCCGATTCCATTGTTAAATATATAAAAATTTATTTCATATGCTGCTAAGTGATGTCATTTGGTTGTTTAGAATAATAATTGTTTGGCTGTTTGCACATTTGCGGCATTTAATTTGAGGTTTTTGTGAATGCAAGAGCTATATGAGATGCCACCATTATTTGACAGGTCAATTCTGATGGTATGAGTTAGTTAGTGGAGTTTGACAATATTTGGTAACTGGGATGAGTTATTTGACAAATTTGACATTAGTTGACAGTTAATTTAGGCATGAGAGCTCTTACAAGTTGTATTCTAAATAGTAAATAGTGATATTTGTTGACAAATTAAATACACATTTCTAGAAAAAATAGGGAATGTTTCACTTATGGGGAGCTATGAATGTACCCAGGTCATTAGAAGTTCAAATGAGAAAAGATAGGTTGCTTAACGGTAGCCTACTTTAAGAATCTAAGAACAAAGATCTCTTGGATTACCTGTACCCAGATGCACATTTGTGTTCGCAGAACAGAAACTTTCAGTTGGATTTTCAGAATGGGATAGAGTCCCTGAGGATCACCTTGGGTTTTTGTTCCAATGCAGGATTCACTCTGGATATAGCAATACCAAGAGTACAACGCCCTGTATTGTTCGATAAATGTATGTTTCCAACTAAACAAGGTTGCTATAATATTGAAATGACATCTAAGCAAGAAGATGAATATATTAGTATTATTTCAAGAAATCTTTTCTGATTGATGCCTCAAATAGATTTGCTTAACAGGAATTGAGGTCTAATCCTATCCTTTTAACCAGGGGCAGAAAGTTTCACTTTTTTTTTTGTTTGTATATGGGATCTTTCAAGGGGTTTGTTTCTATTGTTGCATAGAACCCGTCGACACAGGGAGATGATCGAATATTGATCTATCTTCTAATCGATCTTGATAAGTTGAAGTTGCTAGAGGAGAGGACTAATTGTTTGTCATCAAAGAAAGTATCACTATGGTAGTTAAGGTGTATTGTGTCATCCCTTCCTTCTTTGAGGCCACCTGGACAACATGTATAGCATCCTAGGCACCTTCTTGCAAATAACATGTCCTAGCATGTCCAAATTTTGAGGTACTTCATTTGCTTCTAAGACCATGAGTCCCATGATCCTGTTTTCATGGGCAGCACATTCTAATTGCAGGAGATAATAGAAGATGTGGAGATGATAATAAGACCAAGAAAATCAACGAGTAAAGGAAGATAAAGAGACAAACTTGATGGATTGTGTGTTAAAATGCATAAATGGAAGAATGATGGAGAATGTAGATGAACTTGTTTGTATGTTTTTTTGTTTCTTATTGTTGTATTATGTGCGCTAGTTTTTGTTGCATCGTGTTGTTTTTTATTGCAACATGTTATATATTGTTGTATGATGTTGCTTATTGTTGTTTTTGTTATTTTAGATTTTTGTTGTTTATTTAGAATTCTATTTACCTTTGCTACATCATTAAAATCAAAATATATGTATAGATTTATATACAAACAGCTAAAATGAAAAATTCAGATTTATGACTAGAAATACAACGAAACAATGAGAAACAAAAAATTCAGAATTAGCAACACAAAGAAACACAGAGAAACAATAGGCAACAAAAACTAATAATAAAATTAAATAATAATAATACTCCATAATAATTACAAAAAGTTTATTTACTTTAAGAGTTCTTATATTGGAAATTTCTTATTCTTTGATTTTCAAACTTTTATTTTCTTTAAAGTTTGTTATTTTAATATTTTCATATTTTTATCCTCTAATTTATTTTAATGTTACACTCTTTTAGGTTACAATAGTTTTCTGATTTTAGAATTTATATAATATTTTTTCACTATTATATAAATTTAATCTAATTTAATTTTTCAAACGATTTCAAATTAAACTTTTAAAAATATTTATTTTTATTTTCTTTAATATATATTTTTTCCATTTTTTTAATACAAGTTATATTAACTAATTTATAAACATTACATTAAAAATCATATTTTGGACCTTTTACAATTTCCCCACATTTCTAACAATTTTAATTTTTTTGTATGTTATTTTCTGAGTTTTTTTTTAAGATAAGATTTCTACATTTTTTTAATTTTTCATTTTTTGGGAAATCTTAAATTCTATTAATTTTATTTTTTATATTTATTTAACAAGTTTCCATTTTTTGAATTCATTTAATATATACTTTGAGTTCTTCATTTTTCTATTTTTTTGTATTTTATAAAAATAATTTTTTTAATTAATTGACTATACTTTTTTCTATTTTTTTGTTTTATATAATATTTTACAATTTTCCTTTATTTCTATTTAAAATATATTGTAGATTTTTTTAAAACAAGTTTGCTCAAAATTTAGAAAGATTTTATATTTTGGAGTAATTTTCAAACATATTGCTCATCATTTCCCTTTCTCTTAGGAATTTAGGATAAGGCAGTACAACACTAATCGTATGTAGTAGTGTAGTATGTTAAAGTATCATTAAAGTGTTACTAAGCTTTAGAGTCTATTATTGAAAAGAAAACTTTGAATAGCCTATTTTTAAAAGAAATGTTAAAAGGTGAAAAAAATGATATTATTGTTACCGATCTATTTGTGAAAAATTCCCAATTTGTATACTTGCAAAAAGAACTTGTATACTTACATTTTTATAAACCCGAAGCTCTGTAGTCAACACAACGCGGTCTTCGATCTGTTAGCCGCCATCTAGTGATCCACTCCTTCGCCGCTGCCATCTATTCCCCGGGAGTTTCTCCTTCGACCAAATTGCTTGTTATCACTCGTTACTTATGAGCCCACGGCAAATCATGAGATGAGCACAAATAAACTGTGTAAATTACAAAAAGAATCATAATTTTCATTTTTGGATCACCATGTCTCTGTTCAGGAATCTGATCCATCTCTCGATCGCGACCACCTGCAAACGACCATCATCATATAAGGCGGCGTTTCCCGGATCACCGCCGCCGTTCCTGACCCAGTTTTTGTTGTTCACCACAAAGGCTACATCTCCGGCGCTGGCGGAGTCTAAAGCGAAAGGACCTAGTGATGTCGGGATAGGGCGTGCGGGTTTGGGGCCGACGAAGGGGGATGAAAAGCCCAGAGTGGTTGTGTTGGGGACCGGCTGGGCTGGGTGCAGGCTGATGAAGGGACTTGATACCAACATATACGACGTCGTTTGTGTGTCCCCCAGGAATCACATGGTCTTCACCCCTCTGCTTGCGTCCACCTGCGTCGGAACCCTGGAGTTCCGGTCGGTAGCTGAGCCGATCGGGCGGATCCAACCCGCCATTTCCCGCCAACCCAATTCTTATTTCTTCCTCGCTAACTGTTCTGGAATCGATTTCAGCAATCATGTGGTATGCCTAATTTTCTCTGTATTTTCTTAATTTTGCTGCCACACTTCCAGGAAAATCTGGGAACTATAAACATGTGGAAAAGACAAAAAGTATATCGCTAATGCGTATATGAAAAGTAGGTTATGACATTGTTGTAAATTAACAAGGTTTTTTAGTGAAATGTATGAAAAGCCGCAAGCTTTTATACCGGGAGCTTTAAAAAGGAGTGCTCTAATAGAGTTCCATTTGTTTGGTACATTTGTTTGCTACATTCTTGTGTTACATGTATCTATTGGGTATTCAGATGTTCTAAGTTCTAACTTTTGATGAAGAAGTGAATGTCATACAAGAATGTAGGAAAGAATGTACCCAAAAAATGTACAAATATTTATCTTTATTGACTGTAATATGATATGGAGTATAAAAAATTTACCAAGCAGACTCAAAGTGTTAAGGTTATTGACTGTATTATGATATGGAGTATAAAAAAAACATTACCAAATAGACTCAAAGTGTTAAGCTTTGAGGTTAGAGCCACAGTAGTGGAGTAGCAAAAATATACTCATTCCTCTCATACTACTTGTGCCAAATATTTTTTGTCCTTCATATTAACTTTGTGTAATAGGAGAATTGGTATTATTTGTTTGTATAAAACTAATTTCTACTTTACAAATTAAAATTTTGAACAATAGCATTGTCTGTTACAACAATACTCCGTAGTATTTTGGGGTACAAATACATAATTTCACTTTTTCGTCGTGTGCCGCTTTCTTTTGATTCAGAATAGTTAGGTAGTACTACACAATCTTGTGCAATCTCTCAACCTCATTCAATCATTAGTAAACGCTCATTGAACCATTAGTGAAAATGATGCACTTAGTGGCGGAGCTCCTAAATCAGAAGTCTTTGTGTAAACACCTAATTTTTGAAAAACGAGTGCAACAGTACATTGTAATATAGTGTAATAATGTAGTCCCTCCATCCTACTCGATTTTATCAACTTTCCTCTTCGTTTGTCCCAAAATTTTTGTGTCTTTCCTTTTAAAGTAATGAAATCATGAGTAAACTTATTTTTCTCTCCTCTGCACAAATTTCAACCACACAGTTTTTTATTTTTCTTATTCCGCACCCAACACAAAGTTGGCAATGTCCAGTGGGACGGAGGTAATATTTTTCTATGTTATACTCCATTTACTAATATTTTTGTCTAAAAAGAAACATGCGTAGAATAGTTGTATCAAACAAACTACTGTTCAAATTTTTGTAATTTAACACCTAAAGGTTGAGGGCCTAGACCTGGCCGAATAATTTGCTGGAAGAGCTAAGTTGAGATTAACATCAATCTGGTCTATAGAATGTGAGGTATGTACCTAGTAATGAGAGGACCCCAAGTTGCTCCCTCGCATAGTTGCCAGGTATTGAAACCAGTTCTGCCTCTTTTAGATCACGCTCGTCTAATTTTCAGTTAGTGAGTGGAGAGTAGGTGACTAAATATTTGATGCTTTATTAGCTTTTCAGCTCATACACCGTAGAGTTGACATACGATTTGGGTACAGATAAACTGCCAAACAGTTACGGAAGGAGTTGACACACTGGAGCCACGGAACTTCAATATCGCGTACGACAAGTTGGTAGTGTCTTCCGGTGCAAAAGCCTTAACCTTTGGAATTAAGGGTGTGGAAGAGCATGCTATCTTTCTCCGGGAAGTTCGCCATGCTCAAGAAATAAGGAGAAAACTCCTCCTTAACCTGATGCTCTCTGATGTCCCTGGTATGTATATGGTTGCTTGCATCCTGCCATATATTTCCCGGAACGACCCAGTATAATACAAGTCATAGAAATATTTGACAGTTGTTCGAACTTAAATATATGCATATATGTGGCAGGAGTTAGTGATGAAGAAAAGGGCAGACTGCTACACTGTGTTGTGGTGGGAGGTGGCCCCACAGGAGTTGAGTTTAGCGGTGAACTTAGCGACTTCATCAAGAGGGACGTTCATCAAAGATATGCTCATGTCAAAGATTATATTCACGTCACATTAATTGAGGTAACCTGCACTTATCATTCTAATATGTGCATATGGTCATACATTATTCTGAATTGCAGTATATTCAATTTGAATATGGATGGGAATGTGTTAGAACATTGTAAATGATGATCATTTTATTCCCTTACAGGCAAATGAGATTTTGTCTTCCTTTGATGACCGTCTTCGTAAATATGCCACCAAACAATTGACCAAGGTGAGTTTGAATTATTGCAAATATTTCATTAGTATGTCATTAATGTCAAGACATTAGCTATTTCGGAAACAAAGTGAAGATGGAGGCTTATATAGAAACACATTACTTACATATACGGTTATTATTTTTATTATTTAAGACTACAAAAATAAATAAACTAGCCAAACAAAAACAAAGAAATCAAATTTCCTTTCCCACCCCCTCTAAAATCAACCAACCAAACTAGCCCTTATGTAATTGAAGAAAAACCATTCCTTGAGTCAGATCATTTAGGATGTTTTTACTTGGACTGTTTCTAGTCCCAGATCAGACCAGACTAGACTTAAACAGACCAGACCAGACGTAAACAGACCAGACCAGATTTGACTTCTGTAGTTATAAAATACATAGAGACCAGACGTTTACCATACCAGTTCAGACCAGACCAGACCAGATCAGACTTAAACAGACCAGACCAGACCAGACCAGCAAATTACAATCCAAGTAAAAACATCCTTACTTCCATGTTTATAATGAAACTTCTTCGGTTTAGTCAGGAGTTCATCTGGTTCGTGGGGTAGTAAAAGATGTGCAATCTGAGAAGATAATTCTTAGTGATGGAACGGAGGTTCCTTATGGGTTGTTAGTGTGGTCTACTGGAGTGGGACCCTCTTCATTTGTTGAAACTCTTGATATTCCTAAAGTGCGAGGAAGGTAAGCTGCTTTAGATCATTATTACGGGACAAATTTATCCCCTACACATTATATTTGCTGTTTTATTCTATCTGAGGCAACATATGTAATGCATAAACAGGATTGGGATTGACGAATGGTTGCGTGTCCCTAGTGTGGAGGATGTATATGCAATAGGGGACTGCTCAGGCTTCCTTGAGAGTACAGGCAAGCCAGTGCTTCCTGCGTTGGCTCAGGTAAAGAGAGAATTGGTGTGAGTCTAAAATGTTAAGCCATTTGATTTCGACGAAATACAAAAATGTAAACTCAATACTCATTAAAAAGAAAGGGCAGCCCAGTGCAAATTGGAGTCCCCACAAGGTGAGGGTCTGGGGAAGGGTCCACAAGGGTGTACGGAGGGCAAGCCTTCCCTTGTCTTTTTGACAAGAGACTGCTCCCAAGACTTGAAGTTGTGACCTCTTGGTAACACAGCAACGCCCTAACCGGTGTGCCAAACTCCCCTTCACAAAAATGTAACTCATATATAAGATTAAACCTGAAGTCTTAACTCTTGAGTTATTATGAAAACACATCAATTGTATTTTATTTCTAGATCTTTTTAAACAAACTGATATGCAAATGGTCAATCAGGTTGCAGAACGTCAAGGAAAATACCTTGCCATGCTATTGAACAGGACAGGGAAAGCTGGTGGGGGTAAAGCAAGTGCTGCAAAGGATATTAATCTAGGCAATCCGTTTGTGTATAGACATTTGGGCAGCATGGCTACAATTGGTAGGTACAAGGCTCTTGTTGACCTTAGGCAGAGCAAGGAGGGAAAAGGTGTGTCCCTAGCAGGATTTGTGAGCTGGTTCATTTGGCGATCCGCTTACTTGACTCGAGTGGTAAGCTGGAGGAACAGATTTTACGTGGCTATAAACTGGCTGACCACTTTTGTTTTTGGTCGAGATATTAGTCGGATTTAGAAAGAAAAAGAAGAGTCCATATATATACAGGAAAGGAAGTGTTCCTACAGAAGTGGAGGAAATGTTTTGCTGCTCCAAATTATTGATTTGTTGGAATCTGTTGTCATTAAAATAAAACCTCAAACTATTTTTAAATTTTCAACTTCGTAATGATCACATAGAACACATTATTTGTTATTCCTTATCGTTAATGTATATAATTGTTCTCCCTTTTCGGTGGGGTATAAAAACAACAATTGGTAGTGTTAAAGAACACTTTCTCAGAGCAGAATACACAGAAGAAGAATGCTGATTTAAAGTCTCATTTGGCCTTGTTTCAAATGTGTAGCTGTTAGTTGCTTCCATGGAGCCCTGATCTTCCTCTTAGATGTAAGATTCTTCGGTTCTTGTTGATGATACGTAGCGATTCGTTTGCACTTGGACGTGACTCAGGAGGCCTATAGTGAATTTCTGAAGACTCTTCTGCGCTTTTTTTATTACTACAGTGCTCATCTTTGGTTGTCATGTTCAACATGCGAGGATCAAAAGCTCTACCAAAGGGTAGAGTCAAACATATACTCCCTCCTTCCCATATTTATCTTCACAAGTACAATTGGCACGCATATTAAGATAGTGAAAAATGTGTGGTGGAGAGTTGTGCAGAGGAAAGAGAAATGTGTAAGAATGATTGTGAATCACAAATTCTTTGCTAAAAAGGGAAATATGAGATAAATTTGGGACAGATCGAAAAGGAAAGTGAAGATAATTCCGGGACGGAGTATAACAAATCAAATAAACTAAAATGGAATTAAAACATAATAAATAATACAATTCAAGATATAGCCAAATCATTGTACATAACACTCGCACTGAAGTATCAGAGAATTAGAAGCTATTCTAACTAATATGCCTACCCAACTTCAATCTTTAAATCATTTCATCTTTTTTTTTCTCCAATATACTCCATCCGTCCCGCAAAGAACTTCCCGCTTTCCATTTTTAGTAGTCCCAAAAAGAAGTTCCCCTTTCCTTAAATGGGAAGTTATCTACATCAAAATAGTGTCAAATAGTGCAAAATAGCGTTAAACAGTGCCAAACAGTGTCAAAATAGTAAAATTTACCCCCTGGTAAATTTATTTCTTTAATATGTGTGTAGGTCAAACCGGGGAGTTCTTTGCGGGAAGGAGGGAGTACGTATGTTTGAGCATGTGGTGATATCTAACTCGGGTGACTAAGGTGAAAAACTCAATTTGTGTCTATTCACCTCAAAAGCATACAATTCTTTTATTGAAAGGGTGAAAATGATATTTTGACACAGGGAGTGAAAAAACTTCGCCCCACTTTCACTCCACCCAGCATGTGATATTTGCGCAAAATTTAGGAGCAATAAAAAGCACAAGGGGCCTATTTTTTAAAAAATCACCTCACATTTTATCCAAAAAATATTTAAAATGGCTGAAAAAAGAGTGGGTTAAAACACAATGTGTACATAAAATAACGTTTGGATATGACCAGATAAAGAGAAATACTTATCCAAATTTAATGTTCTTTTCGGAAAAAACTAAATTGAGGTAGTAAACTAGTAAATATTTGAACTTATCACAGAGCTACTTTACAGATGCTTAAGAAACAAAAATAGTATTCTATATATATTTAATACCATATGTAATCATGTAATTATGAGAGAGAATGTTGTTGGAGGAGGTAACTAGCTAGATTGCATGACACCTAAAAATGTAGAATTTAGAATCTTAATTGAAATTTTGTGCATGATAATCAACTCTAGACTTTTCGCAGGTCAATGCAATTAGAACTACAAGAAGTTATGAGAAATCCAACTCCGGTGAGATTGCAAGTGAGCTTGGATCTCATCATCATCTGATCCTCTGATCCTTCTGAAGTGGATAAAGTTTATCTCATGATGATGTTCCCATTATCTTTTTTTCTTTTGCAAATATGAAATATGGTTCACATTATCTTATACTCCCTTCGTCCTTAAATGTTCTTCCATTTTGACTGGACACATTGTTTAAGAAAATGTACTATTTTCTTTTGACTTTCCACCTTTGCCCTTATTTTTTTACCGCACAATTTCAGGGAAAATAAAGGGGGATGGGGCTGCCTACTTTACAGACTACTTTTTGGGATATTTTGTCTTCTGGCGGGACTTTTAAGCATTCCCTCCAACTAAAAAAATTTAAACACTATAAATATGTCACAGCTCTATACAAAGCAACAGATATTACAAGAGGAAGTCGTAAATCATCACAAAAAGCAACATGGAAGTTTCCGAAATTCTTCAAACAACAGAAAAAAAAAGAAAAGGCTGTCCAACGAAGCAAAACAACGGATCTTGCAAGGTCTTCTGACTAATTCCACAGATGGTAAGTTGGCCCAAGGATTAAAATCTGCATTAACTGATGAACATCAAGTGTCAGTCTGGTACATCACAAGTATTTGGGGACAAGTAAGGAAATCACAAAGGGATGGTCTACCTATAAATGTTGACAGACAGTTTGCTGCAAAAAGTAGGAGGAAACCTTTACCACTACCTACACTTGACTTTAAGGAAATAGATCTTCACATAAGTCAGACCATAAGAAGTCTGACATCTACTATGTGCTGTCCCAAAACAAATGTGTACAGACTGATACGACAAGGTAAGATTAAAGCACACACAAATTCCATCAAACCCTATTTGACCGAGTCAAATATGACTAAGAGGATTGAATGGGCAATTTCACACATTGTCCCACACTCACTCACAACTCATCCACTATTTGAACCCATGTTCAACTATGTCAAGAGATACTATCTCGCTCCATATGAACAAGAGTCACACAGTACATGTAAGTCCAAGAGATACATCACAAAAGTAATGTTTTTGTTTGCTGTGGCTAGGCAAATATTTTCAGAGGAATCAGAGGTCTTATTTGATGGGAAAATAGGTATTTTCCCATTCACAGAATTCCAGGCAGCAAAAAGGAATAGCAAAAACAGAACAGTTGGCACAATTGAGGAAAAAGCAATTGAGAGTGTCACAAAAAGTGTATACAGACAGTGTTTACTCAGACATGTGCTCCCTGCCATCAAAGACAAGTGGCCACTTGATAGATCTAGGGATATTTACATCCAACAAGACAATGCCAAATCACATATACAACCTAATGATAGTGAGTTCATGAAAGAGGGTACTACAGAAGGATTTAACATCAAACTAACGTGTCAACCTACCAATAGTCCCAATTTAAATGTTCTAGACCTAGGGGTTTTTAGATCAATTCAGTCCCTACAACAAGCATCACCAAGTACTACAGTTTCAGGGTTAGTGGCAGGGGTGACCAAAGCATTTGAGGAGTTGAGTCCCTATACTTTGAACAAGGTTTGGCTATCATTGCAGATGTGTATGAAGGAGATATTAAGTGTTAAAGGTAACAACAACTACAGATTACTTCACATTGGAAAGGATAAGTTACATGGTAATGGGGCACTACCTATCTCCCTCACTACAGACACTACAACTGTGAGGGAAGTGATGGACTTGTTACAAGGTAATGGGGAAGCACCTATCTCAAATGCAGCAGACACTACAACAGTGGAAGAGGTGATGGAGTTGTTTGACACTAGTAGCAGCCAGTCTTAGGTAGGTACTAGCTTTAGGGTTTTTTGGGTTTTAGGTAAAGACAGGGTTAATGTATTTGGGTACTGCATTTTAAGTTTTTAGGTTTTTTTGCTAGTGGTTTTTTTGATTTTGTGATTTGGGTTTTGGGGTACACATACAAAATATGTACACAAACAAGACACTATCATTATCTATAAATGCAAATTGGATTATTTGGACTCAGTAGTATGACACTGTCATCACAGTAAACATACAAGCATTTAGGCAACATTCAACAATAAGAACCAGTCAACATCTTAACTGCCAGTAGGATTAGTCCACCAGTTAAGGCCAATCAAAACATCATTTGGGCATACAGGCAGTTAGGTCAACATCATCTAGGCATACAAGCATTTAGGCAACATTCAACAATAAGAATCAATCCACATCTTAACTTCCAGTAGGATTAGCCCATCAGTTAAGGCCAATCAAAACATCATTTGGACATACAGGCAGTTAGGTCAACATCATCTAGACATACAAGTATTTAGGCAACATTCAACCATAAGAATCGGTCAACATCTTAACTTCCAGTAGGATTAGCCCATCAGTTAAGGCCAATCAAAACATCATTTGGGCATACAGGCAGTTAAGTCAACATCATCTAGGCATACAAGCATTTAGGCAACATTCAACAATAAGAACCAATCAACATCTTAACTGCCAGTAGGATTAGCCCATCAGTTAAGGCCAATCAAAACATCATTTGGGCATACAGGCAGTTAAGTCAACATCATCTAGGCATACAAGCATTTAGGCAACATTCAACAATAAGAATCCAACAACATCTTAACTGTCAGTAGGACTAGCACATCAGTTAAGGCCAATCAAAACATCATTTGAGCATACATGCAGTTAAGTCAACATCATCTAGGCATATAAGCATTTAGGCAACATTCAACAATAAGAATCAGTCAACATCTTAACTGCCAGTAGGATTAGCCCATCAGTTAAGGCTAATCAAAACATTATTTGGGCATACAGGCAGTTAGGTCAACATCATCTAGGCATACAAGCATTTAGGGTAAATGATGTGAACATCATTTAGGCAAAGAGGAATCATACACAGATAGATGGAAAGTGTGGGAAAACAGTACATTTTCTTAATCAATGTGCACAGTCAAAACGGAAGAACATTTAGGGACAGAGGCAGTAAAGTGAAAATCATTCACGCATCGAACCAAATTATGCAACACAGACGGAGGGACTACAAATTCTCAGAGTAATACATGCATAGAGGCACTCATATATGCATGCAACAAGTGGAACTTATCACCTTCATTTTTTGCAAAGGGGCAGCCACATAGAAACCCATTTGTCCAATCATTCTTGAACTTTATGGTCCGGGTCAGCAGGAGCGTACGCAGGTAGATCATAGCCCACATTTGTTGTATCTATTGGCCGAAGGTAGATGTCAATGATATTGTCATTGGTGGCTTCAACTCTTCGGTCCAAATGCTCAGATCTCAACCGTTTTCTTCCTTTCAATCCCCCTTCAATCTGAGAAACCGGGACCAACTTGAGCTCAGAATCCGAGATGAAATCCGGCAAAATCTCAGCCTCAGGGACAAATCCGGGCAAGATCTTAGAGTCAGGGACAAAGCCGGAAAAGATCTCAGAGTCA